TGCAGATCACTGGAACCCGGCTCTTTCAGGTTACACTTTATTCTCCACGGGCGAGTAGATTGTATAATGTGTCGAGCCCTGCTGATAACTATGTTATACTAGGCTGGCGTAGGGCTATTGAAATCTTGAACCCTCTGGATTAACGTGATTAGATTAATAAAATGTAGTTTGGCGAGATGTTTCCTACTATTTGAATACCCAAAGAGCATATAATTGGAATGTGCTGTGACTCCAAATAGGTTCAAAAGTGTGTTTGTGGGACTTGGCTTTTCTGTGTTAAATCTACAGTAAATATGCTCCTTCAACATTAATTTTGGTGTCATTCTGTAACATGTCAGGATCCTACAAGTTATATAAAAGGCGTTGATAAATAAAGCTTCCAGCGAATAGTAACATTATCTACATGCTGCCATGTACTCTGAGCTGTGACTCCAAATAGGTTCAAAAGTGTGTTTGTGGGACTTGGCTTTTCTGTGTTAAATCTACAGTAAATATGCTCCTTCAACATTAATTTTGGTGTCATTCTGTAACATGTCAGGATCCTACAAGTTATATAAAAGGCGTTGATAAATAAAGCTTCCAGCGAATAGTAACATTATCTACATGCTGCCATGTACTCTGATGTAACTATATTTTGCCCATATGAATTGTTGAATGTCATCACAAAGAAGTTCTCCTTGTTTATATTTGGAGACATTAAAGCTATTTCTTTTGGTTCACAGATATTGCAGTTGCTGCACCTTATGGTGGAGAGGACAAAAGAGGGGTCGTTTACATCTTCAATGGGAGAGCGACGGGTTTGAATGCAGCGCCATCTCAGATTCTTGAAGGACAGTGGGCCGCCCGCACCATGCCGCCAAGCTTTGGGTACTCGCTAAAAGGAGCCACCGATGTGGACAAAAATGGATATCCAGGTGCTTTCTACTTGGCATAGCTTTAGAACAGTTACAGTAATTTGAGTGCATCACTTCTGTGTGATTTACCAATTGACCAACTAGTATCCTTTTTTTTAAAAAAAAAAAAAAAAAGCGTAAACTCTCAAACTTAACGTTGCTTTCTCCTTTCCAGATTTGATTGTCGGTGCCTTTGGTGTTGACAGAGCTGTTTTGTACAGGTAGGCACACGGTGCATGTTCTTATGTAAGTGCAGTCAGAAGGAAAGCTCAGTTCAAACTGTAAATTACAGTGTGGAACAGAAATGAGAGAGTGTCTGAACTTCTGTCTTGCTGCACTGCAGAATGATATGGATAAAAGTGGTTACCTCATTATTTCCACTGTGTTAAAATGGGGTCCATACTCTATTATTTGCCTTTGGATGTGTCCAGAGCTGAGAGAGAACACTGCATGAGATCTTCCTCCCTGGCCAACCCTGAATGACTCTTCTCCAGAGCCTGCAGGGAAGAATGCTTCTGCTGCCTGCAGAGATGTGCAAATTTGCTCTAATCCTTGGCAGTTATGCAAGCTCCTTAATCATTATGGGCGAGGCCTGTGAGAGAGAGAGAGGGCAAAGTGGGGCACGGAGAGGGAGGAGCCTGCTCTCCCTTCCCCCTCATTTTCACAGCCAGAATATTAAACTGAGCACAATAAAGTTTATGGCTACTTCACAAAAAGGGTGTGTAACTTATTTTCCTCAAGAAGGGGTGGGGAGGGGAGGAGTTGTGGCAGAATCCCAACTCATTTTCTGATCTGCTTCAAGGGCCTTATAACTGTTCATTGCCTCTTACAGATAGTTGGATGTAAAGTTATAATCTGGCCAATAAGGATCTTGTTGAAAAGTGCCATTAAGGTTCTTCAATTCTCCACGTATTCACATCAGTCTTCTCCACCCTCTTTCGTGTTCCCACTACTTATCCTAGCATCTTCTTTTTCTTGATTCAGTCTAATGTTTCGGTTGGTAGTGTTGATGTGAGATTCCACAGCTTCTGGTATCTGGGGCAGCCTCTCTTTGACTCTCTGCCCCATCTACTGTCCATCTCTGCCCCATCCAGGGTATATCTACACTGTGCGACAAAGTTGAGTGAAGATTAGCAACTTCAGCTACGTTAATTGCATAGCTGAAGTCGAAGTAGCTTAACTCGACTTTTGGCGCTGTCTACACAGCTGGAAATCGAAGGAAGAGCACTCTTCCTTCAACTTCCCTTGCTCCTCGTGAAATGAGGATTACAGAAGTTGGCGTAAGAAGTGCATTATTTAGAAATGATTTTGAAATAATGGGCTTGCTGTGTAGACTTGAACTTTGTTATTTTGAAATACCATGAGTTATTTAGAAATAAGTGTGAATTGTAGAGATAGCCTTACTGTCCCCATCATTTTTAATGAAAGAACTTCTTTCTTGCTAGTCTCTCTTATTTTTTCCATCTACTGCTCTATCATTGCAATCTATATTTTAGCTTTACAGGAAGTCCCCGGGTTACATCAATCTGACTTACGTCGGATCCCTTGTTACGAACGGGGGGGGGAGGGGCGGTGTTTAACGGCGGAGGCGGATTCCCCTTTAAATCTCCCTGCCTGCCCCCCTCCCCAGGTCCCCCTCTTATCACAATGCACCAGGCGCGCCGGGCTCCCTCAGCGCCACCTGAATGGAAATGCCGCCGCCGGGGCGCAGCTAGTGCGGGGTGCCTCCCCCACTGTCGCTGCCTCTGGCAGCGCGGGGGGCACTTCCCCCTAGCAGACCAGGGAGACGCAGAGCTAGCGCCCCCCCCCCCCCCCCC